ATATCTGGTGATCTCGCTTTTCTCACACCTAGCTTTTCCCACATCCCCTCACGATTCCTTGTGCATTCCCATATAGAACCAGGTATGGCAGGCACATAATGGTCAGATCAACGCCCAATTGACAGCTAATAATTATGCGCACTTTCGACAATACCCACTCGTATAATGCAATGCCTCAATGACAAACCCCCTGCGACCGACGACCCTGTGCAATTAGGACGCTGCCTGCATAGGACATGGGTGCACGGGAATTTCCTCCCCCCGATCCCCGTTTTTAGGAGGTTTAGGGGTGCATTTGGGTCAGCGTGTGAAATTCCTAAGCATCCGTGCATGAAGTAACCCAAACGAGCGATTCAGGATTCTCAAGATCGAAGGATCCCTTATGCCAAATCCCACGAAGTTCGAGAACCTCTTTTTCTCAGTCATTATTTTCTACCCTTTCTTGGTTTCTATTCATATTGTCATTGTTTTGGATTTACTACAAGAAGAAGTAGATGAGTTTGCACAGTTAAATTGCGTCACCGAAAAAAATCGCATGCTTCCCCTAAAATTCCACAAGTCGTTGGCCAGATGCTGTGAAATTTTTTTTTTGCTGTCTCATTATGTACGTTAAACCTTTTTCGGCTTTTCGGTTTGCGAATTCTTTGCGCACTTCCTTTCAAGTAATCAACCGAACCCGCGAAGAAGCAACGCATAGCGGGAGTTAGCTGTTTTCTCTGAAGATTTATTATACAGTGAACTTTTTGGCTTGCCCAGATGTTGGCCCGTCCACTTTTCTCCACAGTTGCTTAGCTGGGGGCTCCAGATACTATTTAGAAAAGCTCATCGGAATTAACTTATTTGGCTCCAAGTGGGCAAACCTGCAAATTTATGAGCCTTCATGCGACAAATTGTATTGTTTAATGTTCAAAGGTCTGTTTGTTATCCGAAAACTTGAAAAATAAAAGATTGTTAAAATAACTTAAATAAAATAAATTGACTGTGTCGAACAGTAAAAACTTATTTAAAAATCTTGGTAAATCTAAATTAAAACTTCGTTGTAGGCTCCCAACTAAATCAAAAGCTCTATGAGTTATTTTTATAGCCCTTCATAAATAAACTCCTTTAAAAATCTCCCTGTTCAAAAATTATACCTCACTTCCGCTCTCAAAATCCTTGGGGCCATGCTTCATTGCACCTTATTATGGTGCCTAATTGAAGTCATTATCGTTGGGCTCCCACTAGCCATAAAAAATGTAAAATACACAAACACACGCACACAACGTTTAATTGCTTCACTAAATATTCACACAAAACGGTGGCTGATATATTTCAAATTTATTTTACAAAAAAAACGAAAAGTTCCCACGACCACCGACACAAGGAAGAGCATTAAAAATTATAAATTCCAGCAGTTCCAGAGGGCAACCCTCGCAGGACGAGGATGCGGAGAGAGGATCAGGAGGCAGAGGAACCCGATGGTGGTGGTGTGGTGGTTGATAAGGCCCCTAGCCCAGCCAAAAAAAAAAAAAACGAAGGACAGCAGACAGACAGAAGCGTATGGCGGGAATAATTATAATTTTATATCAAGTACTAGCAAAAAAAAAAAAAAAGAAAGGAAGCCATAAAATGTGTATCCTTTTCTGACCATCCATCGTGTGAAACTTTACGAAATGCATTTTGTAATGTTAGTTTTGACATTGGTGTTCTCAGCTGAGGGTAACCATTGAATGAAAACCTAAAAGTGAGAATATATAATGGGAAAAACGTTGGGAACTTTGAATAAATTGTGGTATTAAATGCAGTGGGAGGAGCAATAAAACAAAATAGTAAAATAGCCTTAGAGCTTGGTTTTAATCTGTTTAGTAAATATTTTTGTGAGCTAGGAAAACTTGAAAATAGAGAAAACGTTGCATCCAGTTATGTTCAAAAGCCAACATCAGGTCGTTTCATATGATAGTTTTTGCAATTTTCCCTAGAAAGGCTTGCTATGATGGAAAAAATCCAATTACCATTTTAAGGCAAGCTTACCCCTCGCCCTTATTTCCATTTAATCTCCCTGCATAACGACTGCCTCCATCATCCATATCCAACATCTGCCTGCCTCCAGTCATATCCTGAAAGCTCAATCCATAATAGTGATGGAATTGCAGGTTTAGCCTACATTTTGGCATAGAAACGTGCAACCATCAATGATGGGGAATGGTGTTGGGGGCTTCTGTTTCATCGGATGAAAGGATGAAACTTTCGCAATGGGATTTCCGAGGTGTCACACACACTGAAAGGCTAGACTGTTGTGGGAGTCATCGCCATTCCGCCCGGAATGCAACAAGTGTCGATGGCCTTTTGAGGGCACAGTAAAACTTAATTACATTGACTCTACATCGAGGCTTGATTGTGGTTATGCAATACAAATTACTATATGCTCGCCTATACAGATCTACACCGATATATCAAAGTGTCATTGACTGCGCTTGTTTTGTCATTCCAGGGTTAATTGTTTAATGCTAAATTAAAAACGAACTGGAAAAAATCGCCATGTTCTAGCACGGCATTTCATCACCAAGCGAATGGTCAGCCATGTGGTTTAATGATTTATAGTGCTCTCTGTGGTCCACTGGGCAGCTGTGAAAGAGTTTAATGAATTAATTAGGGTGGGTGTAGCTCCAGAGCCAGAAGACTGGTCAGAGGTCAACGAAGTGGCAGACGAAATTTAATTTACAATGTGGATTATTATTCACCAACTATTCAACTAAGCTCTGAGCAAAGTCGGCTACGTATCAAAGGAGTAATCTTCTATCGATTTGATTTGGTCGGGCAGCAGTGCCCTCTGTTTGCTTCAGTCATGGAAAATACCCCATACTAGCTCCCCATATTAATTACCATATCACAAAGAGAAAATAAATATGTTCGTATCAGGCAAACATTGATAAAGAAGAAAATATCTCTAGCCCCCATATTTTATATTATTTTTTCATTTTTATCAAAGCAAACTGCAGTCGGATCTGATTCTCTGGCAAACACGTACACAGATTTTACAGCTGGAACCTGTTTCGTGCCGCGCTTATTGGTTGAATGAACCCTTCCGGATCTCGAACCCTTCTTCGATATGCTCTAACCAGCCGATTGTTGTCATTTCTGAAATCATGTTTACTTTTAGTGCGTGATTTGATGTTTATTTGGGTGATTTTTGCTCTTCTGTCTATGACATGCGTAAGCCATGAATCACGTTGGAGCAAGTTTATTTATTTCTTTTTATGGGGCTTAAAGTGGTTGGCCAAAGAATTTCAAAAGGCTAGTGGCGGAATTAATGGGAATTCCTTAGAACTAATGAGTATTAAGATTTTGAGTGAAACTTGTTTATTGAAGTTCCATTAAAATAACATTTTTTATTGCCAATTTGAGCCCACTCAGCTTGAAATTTTATAAAAAAAAACAATCTGAAAAAACATGTCCTTCAGTTCTGCAGCCAAGATGTCGCCTTTGGCTTCTGCATTTATTCATTTTTATTGTTATTGGTTGCCCTTTCAGTAGATGCAAGAGCTCTGAAAACTTTTAAGCCAAATGCCAAGAGCTTTTGTAAATCATTTCTTCCCCACACCAACAGTTTTACTAATAAACCTCTGACCCACTTAAAAGAATGTTTAGATGCTTTTTGTCAACGCCCTTCTTTGAACGCCTTCTAATGAAGCCAGAAAACCAAAAGCCAAATCACAAACCAAAACCAAAGCCAAAGCAAAGCTACAAATTGTGGGATTGCCGCCCTTGCTTTCTGTGGTCACCAAGTAACCAAGAACCGAACTTCTGGCCTTCAGGGGTAAATCAAATGTTCAAACTGGTTTCGTAACATTTACAGTTAGCGGCTTAAGTGCCCAAGAAGAAAGTCGACTTAAGTCCCGTCTCCAAGTTGCAACGGAATTCCGAATTGAACTTTACATTTTGTGTTCAACTTGTATAAATCGACAACCGAATCCCAAATAAGTTGGACAAATAAGCCCAATTAGCTTCTATCGCTTGACACTGTTTCAGTTGGTCAATTAACATGGTCAAGCTAATGGTTGAAGAACGTGAGATATTTGGTCGAAACGTGGAAAAGCTGTAGGAAAATTGAGTGGTGGGAACACAGAGACTATGGCGACTTTAGCTTTCAGGTTCTGGGAAATCTAGACATGCAAACAGGCAACGGACAGCCCACAGATTACCCCTATTTAGTTCACATAAATATTAGATATTATTTCAAAGAGTTAGAAAAAAACAAGTTGGGTCACGTTATTTGAGTGGGCTTATCTTGTGCCCACTTGCGTACACTTATGGAAAATAAAATATAACTGCTAGACACCCAAAAATATCGCTCGGACAATCTTAATTTGCGGATCAAACGACTGTAAATCGGACACATTGTTTTTTGTGAAAACCTTAGGAAAATATACAAAGTTTTGTTATGATTTTGCGATTATTACTGACGCTTAGTTTATCAACAGTTTACCGCAATACGAGGCATGTGATAAAGTCACAAAAATGTCAGCCCGTGTCGCCGCATCGCTGGGAAAACAAAAGCCTCGGGCGAAGTCAAAGCAAATAAATGCTAAAAAAAAAGAAGTGAAATATTAAATATGTGTGTAAACAATTACGTGAGACACCCGACTGGCCATGCCCACCGGGCGATAAGCGATTGGAGGCCGTTGGCATTAATTGCTCCTCTTGACTTCAGTTCTAGTTCGGGCCAAGCCGTGTAGGTTGGTACATATCTCGTCGCGAAAAGCTTTTAATGGATCGCAGCTCGTAGGGGGGGAATATCAGTACATCAGAGGGCACTTTTGATCACTGCTCAATGAAACTCGAGGGGGCGTTGAATCAATTTCGAAGCCGATAAACCAAAGTGCTTTCATGTGTCGATAGCGATAGGGTATTGTATAGGGTGTGACTCACGCATATTGGAGACGTCAGCACTGATAGCGCTATGCGTAACCCCCCTCCCCCCAAAATAACTATAACCACAACACTCTTTAAACATTTTCCAGATTGCCCCGTCAATTTAATTTGATCAAAAACCATAACTCAAATTCAATGAACAAATAAATTTGCGCAGTCCAACAAGCCAATAAACGGATCAATAAACCGAAATACAATTCCGCCCGGAGACCCACGGCCATCTGGCAACGCTGTTAGTGGCAGCTTGTAACGGTTATTCACAACAATTTACTCACGCCCCGATCGAGTGTAAAAGCGCGGAGGCATGGGAAACTCCTCGTCACACACACACGAACCACTCGAGCGCGGCTTCACACGCGGAAAATTCGGTGACGTTAAAAATGGGGTAGGTTTCTTCTAAGGTTTCCATTTCGATATGATCCCCAGTACCGCAGAGGGTTGAACTGCCACAACTCGCACTTGTTTCGTTCTCTCTTTCTCTCTACATTTAAATATAATTAATATTATGTAATGCTAACAATATGTCCTTGTGTGCCCCATAGAAATCCGCCTCCTTCCGGTTTAGCAAGAAATCGCCGAAGAAAATGGATCGTCTGCGTCGCTCCTTTCGCGACTCCTTCAGGCGTCGCAAGGATCGCGTTCCCGAGTCCTCGAAGCCGCATCAGTGGCAAGCGGATGAGGAGGCCGTGAGATCGGCCACCTGCTCCTTCTCCGTAAAGTATCTGGGATGTGTCGAGGTCTTCGAGTCGCGCGGCATGCAGGTCTGCGAGGAGGCCCTAAAGGTCCTGAGGGTATGTAGTCAAATGGATATATGTAGTATAGAAGGACATGGAGATGTAATGAAGGTGACAAGAAGTTAACACATCGTTTGTTGAGTTCCATTTGAATATTTAGCTTAATAGGATCTAAGGAATGTCATTTACGCGTTTTTTAATAAAACAACTATTAAAGTATTAATAAATTTAGACTTTAATCAATTATCATAACCAGTTATTACCACTTTGGAAAAGCATTTCATTATTGTATACTTACTTCAATTGATTATTACATTCATTTTGTTATTCACTTTTTAATTAATTTTTATCGTGTGCAACGTTGTGCAACTTTTGGATTACCTACTGCTATTTGAATTCAGATTTATTTATAAAGGACTTAATTTGTCTGATAACTGATTGCGTATAACTTTATCTTGACATTGAAAAAGTAAGCAAAACCAGAACAATTTATGGCCATAGCTTAAAGAAACTAACTTACTCATTTTTAGCAGTCTCAGTCATTCTTTAGCTATATCAAAGCAATGTAAGATTCAATTATCAATGGCTTGTTTTGTCTCCATGTCCTTCTAATACCTATACCTATTATATTAAAGAATTTACTAACTGATCTCTCCCATATTTAGCAATCCCGACGTCGCCCTGTCCGCGGATTACTTCATGTCAGTGGAGATGGCCTGCGAGTGGTGGACGACGAGACCAAGGGCCTGATAGTGGACCAGACCATCGAGAAGGTCAGCTTCTGTGCACCGGATCGCAACCACGAGCGTGGCTTCAGCTACATCTGCCGCGATGGAACCACTCGGCGCTGGATGTGTCACGGCTTTTTGGCGTGCAAGGATTCCGGCGAGCGATTGTCCCATGCGGTTGGCTGCGCCTTCGCCGTTTGTCTGGAGCGGAAGCAGCGACGCGACAAGGAGTGCGGCGTGACGATGACCTTCGACACGAAGAACTCGACCTTCACGCGGACCGGATCCTTCCGCCAGCAGACGCTGACGGAGCGCCTGGCCATGGCCACGGTGGGCACGAACGAACGATGCGTGGATGGGCCGGGATCAGCAATGCCAGGTCCTCCGGCGGCCACCGTCAAGCCTTACAATCCCTTCGCCATCGAACGGCCCCATGCCACGCCCAACATGTTGGAGCGGCAGAGCTCGTTCCGTTTGAGCACGATTGGCAGCCAGTCGCCGTTCAAGCGCCAGATGTCATTGCGCGTCAACGATCTTCCGTCCAACGCCGATCGTCAGAGGGCTTTCCTGGCCGCCGCCGCCGGGAATCCTCTGCAGACACCGCTGCGAAGTGTTTCGCCCATTGCCGAGGTTTCGCCGGCCAAGTCTGCTGGAGCGGATCAGTCGTCGGCCGCCTCCGCGGCCGCCGATTCCGTGAGCCAGCTGTGCCAGGAGCTCAGCCAGGGTCTCTCCCTGTTGACCCAGACAGACGCTCTGTTGGCCGCCGGCGAGGATCTGAACTTCAACAACAATCGCAGCATTAACCAGAACATTATTGCCGCCGAGAAGCAGGTTCAGCATGTAATCTCGTACAGCGCCACGCCCACGGCGCAGGTGACGCCCCGGGTGGCCAGCACCACGCCCACTTATCAGACGCTCCACTCGCAGTCACCCACGCGGTCGGAGCAGAGCATCGAAACCTCAACAGAGCTGCCAAATGCCGAGCAGTGGTTGGGTCATGTGGTGCGCAGTACCTCACCTGCCGCACCGAAGCGGCCCACTTACCTGGCCAATGTTGGCCGAGCTCAAACGCTGGCCAGTGGATCGGGATCTGTGGCTGGAGGCGCAGGAGCAGGAGGAGGGGGACCCGATGACCCATTCGATGCCGAGTGGGTGGCCAATGTGGCGGCGGCCAAGCAACTGTCGCCGGATTTGCCGGTTTCCAGCACATCGCGCTCGCCGCTGGCCAGGCACAGCACCAATCCTTTCATCTCACCGCCCAAGGCGCCGGCGCAGACATTCCAGGTGCAGCTCTAGGCAGCAAATCCGGGGTCACCAGGGGGACAAAGTGTGGTTCGCTTGAAAAAAACGTAACTTAGTTTAAAGTTCAGGGGCAGGATCAGGCCAAACACAGAAGGTGGAACAAAGATGGATGGATGGCTGGATGGGATGGATAGAGATACTTAACGCAAACATAAATAATTATGCATATAGAAAACCTAAAATACAGTTACTTACACGAAAAACGCATCAAGTACAGTAAACAAATCCATTAATGGCGCTTAGCACTAGGCCAAAACGTAAACTGCTTCAAGTAAAAGACATCATTAGATCGTAAGAGATCTTATACCGAATATCAGTCTTACAGGGGATCTTAACTAGGAAATTACTTTTTAACTTAATACTTTCATGAAACTTGAATATTTCAAACATTTTCTTCAAATAAAATGGACGTTTTTAATGACTAGACTGATACAGGTTAAGATCCCTTAGTCACCCAACAATTGACCAAGCTACCAAGTTACCCACGAAAGTCCACCATTAAGCAAACAACAAACGAAAACCAATGGCACCCTTTTATCTTGAATGCTAAAACTGTATTATACTTTGGTAATGCCCTTCCACTACTTGTTGATTGATCCCATTAAGAATAATGATAAATGATAATGATATACAGATTTATGTGTGTTGATATGTAGGAAACTCTATGTCTTAGGGCCAATTATTATTTTGTCAATGTCAGTGTTCGGTACACCGTTTTACATAAAATCTTTTATTATTTAATTTAATTTTTAACTGTGTACAAAATGTATTATACTTAAATTATAAATATAATTTAAAAACAAACAACAAAAAAATTAAACAAAAAACATGAAGTTAAATAAACTTATAAATCGAGCAGCTAAATACAATGCAACTAATGAAAAACGATATAGAAATATTGAAATAATTAAAGTTATATATAAACCTATTACATATATTGTAAAAGACAGAGCCCAATTCGGCAGAGAAGAGAAATACATTCGATTTGTGTGCTTATGTGATTTATTTGTTTTATTTTTGCTGAACGTGATCCACGTTCAGTTGGTTCAGTTCAAAAGAAACTTTTTAAAATTCCATATATATTGGATAAATCAAACGCCACCTAGCCAATGCACCAAATGTTGATAAACCCTTTAATCAATACCTAGCTAGAATCAAACACAAAAGTAAACAAAATCATTGTTCCTAAGACAAGATGTAGGAGTCAATGAACCGCACTCATCAGTATTTACATGACGCATATGTATTCAGATCGACTTCGGAAAGACCTAGGAAAAGGTTTTTGTATATATGTATAAGACACAAGTCTTTGAATGATTTATAGTTTGATTTGCCTTGCAAAATGACACCTGGCTTCATTTGGACATGTTACTGCTTTTAATATAGGGAATCTGAACTTTTCTATATATTTACACGGGCACTAATGAAACATAAGGACTACTCTTGAAAAGTAATCGATTTGAAAGGATCTTCTGCAACATCGTTTTGTGACAAATTTTGTCTCTAAATTATAATAAAAATCGGTATGCAACCATTAAGACATCAATATATATTTAATATTAGCTCATATACACGAAATACAAAATTACAAAAATATTTAAATAAATATACATATATGTTATCATACTTATATAGAAAATGCATATCGTTTCGTTTGACGTTTAGTAAAATTGACATGCACACATATACCTAAAAAGTAAATGACATATTAATGAAGCCACATATTATCTGAGATATTATGTTTATTCATTTTGTATGACAAAAATGTCGATCACAAGATCGTTATTGGATATTCAAATATTGTGAAGTATTGATCATTCATTTGAGAGTTAAATAAACGGTATGAAAATAATCAATGAAAATAAGTGTTTCGACGGTTTTCTTGGATTTGCTATTAATTTTTTTAAAATTTTTATTTTGACCTAGCTTACAGTTTTTTTCGGCGTCAACTTGATTTTGAAGTAATTGGGTACAAGAACTAGATTGGATTGTTAGTTATTTCTAATTTTCCGATGTCTTGTAAAAGAGTGTCTTAAAATTGGACTTCGAGAGTCCATAACTTTACCAAACTTCAGCCGATTCCAAAGTGGCATACCTCTAAAGAATGGTGATTCAATTCTCTAAAAATCTGCATTCAAAATTTTTGATTTAACGTTGATCAAATTTTTGACCCATTTTCATGTTAGTTATTTCCAATTTTCCGATGTCTTGTAAAAGAGTGTCTTAAAATTGGACTTCGAGAGTCCATAACTTTACCAAACTTAAGCCGATTCCAAAGTGACATACCTCTAAAAAAAAGGTGATTCGGTTCTTTCAAAATCTGCATTCAAAATTTTCAATTTAACGTTGATCAAATTTTTGACCCATTTTCATGTTAATTATTTCCAATTTTCCGATGTCTTGTAAAAGAGTGACTTAAAATTGGACTTCGAGAGTCCATAACTTTACCAAACCTTAGCCGATTCCAAAGTGGCATACCTCTAGAGACTTGTGATTCGATTCTTTAAAAATCTGCATTCAAAATGTTCAATTTAACGTTGATCAAATTTTTGACCCATTTTCATGTTAGTTATTTCCAATTTTCCGATGTCTTGTAAAAGAGTGACTTAAAATTGGACTTCGAGAGTCCATAACTTTACCAAACCTTAGCCGATTCCAAAGTGGCATACCTCTAAAGAATGGTGATTCAATTCTCTAAAAGTCTGCATTCAAAATTTTCAATTTAACGTTGATCAAATTTTTGACCCATTTTCATGTTAGTTATTTCTAATTTTCCGATGTCTTGTAAAAGAGGGACTAAAAATTGGACTTCGAGGGTCCATAACTTTACCAAACTTAAGCCGATTCCAAAGTGGCATACCTCTAAAGAATGGTGATGCAATGCTCTAAAAATCTGCATTCAAAATGTTCAATTTAACGTTGATCAAATTTTTGACCCATTTTCAAGTTAGTTATTTCCAATTTTCAATTTAACGTTAATACAATTTTTGACCCATTTTCATGTTAGTTATTTCTAATTTTCCGATGTCTTGTAAAAGAGTGACTTAAAATTGGACTTCGAGAGTCCATAACTTTACCAAACTTAAGCCGATTCCAAAGTGGCATACCTCTAAAGAATGGTGATTCAATTCTCTAAAAATCTGCATTCAAAAATTTTTGATTTAACGTTGATCAAATATTTGACCCATTTTCATGTTAGTTATTTCCAATTTTCCGATGTCTTGTAAAAGAGTGACTTAAAATTGGACTTCGAGAGTCCATAACTTTACCAAACTTAAGCCGATTCCAAAGTGACATACCTCTAAAAAAAGGTGATTCGGTTCTTTCAAAATCTGCATTCAAAATTTTCAATTTAACGTTGATCAAATTTTTGACCCATTTTCATGTTAGTTATTTCCAATTTTCCGATGTCTTGTAAAAGAGTGACTTAAAATTGGACTTCAAGAGTCCATAACTTTACCAAACCTTAGCCGATTCCAAAGTGGCATACCTCTAGAAACTTGTGATTCGATTCTCTAAAAATCTGCATTCAAAATGTTCAATTTAACGTTGATCAAATTTTTGACCCATTTTCATGTTAGTTATTTCCAATTTTCCGAAGTCTTGTAAAAGAGTGACTTAAAATTGGACTTCGAGAGTCCATAACTTTACCAAACTTTAGCCGATTCCAAAGTGGCATACCTCTAAAGAATGGTGATTCAATTCTCTAAAAATCTGCATTTAAAATTTTCTATTTAACGTTGATCAAATTTTTGACCCATTTTCATGTTAGTTTTTTCCGATGTCTTGTAAAAGAGTGACTTAAAATTGGACTTCGAGGGTCCATAACTTTACCAAACTTAAGCCGATTCCAAAGTGGCATACCTCTAAAGAATGGTGATTCAATTCTCTAAAAGTCTGCATTCAAAATTTTCAATTTAACGTTGATCAAATTTTTGACCCATTTTCATGTTAGTTATTTCCAATTTTCCGATGTCTTGTAAAAGAGTGACTTAAAATTGGACTTCGAGAGTCCATAACTTTACCAAACTTAAGCCGATTCCAAAGTGGCATACCTCTAAAGAATGGTGATTCAATTCTCTAAAAGTCTGCATTAAATTTTAAATTTTTAAATTTTCAATTTAACGTTGATCAAATTTTTGACCCATTTTCATGTTAGTTATTTCCAATTTTCCGATGTCTTGCAAAAAGTGACTTAAAATTGGACTTCGAGAGTCCATAACTTTACCAAACTTAAGCCGATTCCAAAGTGGCATACCTCTAAAGAATGGTGATTCAATTCTCTAAAAATCTGCATTTAAAATTTTCTATTTAACGTTGATCAAATTTTTGACCCATTTTCATGTTAATTATTTCCAATTTTCCGATGTCTTGTAAAAGAGTGACTTAAAATTGGACTTCGAGAGTCCATAACTTTACCAAACTTCAGCCGATTCCAAAGTGACATACCTCTAAAGAATGGTGATTCAATTCTCTAAAAATCTGCATTCAAAATTTTCAATTTAACGTTGATCAAATTTTTGACCCATTTTCATGTTAGTTATTTCTAATTTTCCGATGTCTTGTAAAAGAGTGACTTAAAATTGGACTTCGAGAGTCCATAACTTTACCAAACTTCAGCCGATTCCAAAGTGACATACCTCTAAAGAATGGTGATTCAATTCTCTAAAAATCTGCATTCAAAATTTTCAATTTAACGTTGATCAAATTTTTGACCCATTTTCATGTTAGTTATTTCTAATTTTCCGATGTCTTGTAAAAGAGTGACTTAAAATTGGACTTCGAGAGTCCATAACTTTACCAAACTTCAGCCGATTCCAAAGTGGCATACCTCTAATGAATGGTGATTCGATTCTCTAAAAATCTGCATTCAAAATTTTCAATTTAACGTTGATCAAATTTTTGACCCATTTTCATGTTAGTTATTTCTAATTTTCCGATGTCTTGTAAAAGAGTGACTTAAAATTGGACTTCGAGAGTCCAAAACTTTACCAAAATTAAGCCGATTCCAAAGTGGCATACCTCTAATGAATGGTGATTCGATTCTCTAAAAATCTGCATTCAAAATTTTCAATTTAACGTTGATCAAATTTTTGACCCATTTTCATGTTAGTTATTTCCAATTTTCCGATGTCTTGTAAAAGAGTGACTTAAAATTGGACTTCGAGAGTCCATAACTTTACCAAAATTAAGCCGATTCCAAAGTGGCATACCTCTAATGAATGGTGATTCGATTCTCTAAAAATCTGCATTAAAAATTTTCAATTTAACGTTTATCAAATTTTTGACCCATTTTCATGTTAGTTATTTCCAAATTTCCGATGTCTTGTAAAAGAGTGACTTAAAATTGGACTTCGAGAGTCCATAACTTTACCAAATTTAAGCCGATTTCAAAGTGGCATACCTCTAAAGATTGGTGATTCAATTCTTTAAAAATCTGCATTCAAAATTTTCAATTTAACGTTGATCAAATTTTTGACCCATTTTCATGTTTGTTATTTCTAATTTTCCGATGACTTGTAAAAGAGTGACTTAAAATTGGACTTCGAGAGTCCATAACTTTACCAACATTAAGCTGATTCCAAAGTGGCATACTTCTAATGAATGATGATTCGATTCTCTAAAAATCTGCATTCAAAATTTTCAATTTAACGTTGATCAAATTTTTGACCCATTTTCATGTTAGTTATTTCCAATTTTCCGATGTCTTGTAAAAGAGTGACTTAAAATTGGACTTCGAGGGTCCATAACTTTACCAAACTTAAGCCGATTCCAAAGTGGCATACCTCTAAAGAATGGTGATTCAATTCTCTAAAAATCTGCATTTAAAATTTTCTATTTAACGTTGATCAAATTTTTGACCCATTTTCATGTTAATTATTTCCAATTTTCCGATGTCTTGTAAAAGAGTGACTTAAAATTGGACTTCGAGAGTCCATAACTTTACCAAACTTCAGCCGATTCCAAAGTGACATACCTCTAAAGAATGGTGATTCAATTC